CTGGCCTTGTTGTCTGAAATAGTTCCTGTATCTGCACTGGAATCTCTTTGCCTAACTCTGAAAAAAATTCTGGTTTGTTCATTTGAAAATGTTTTCTATGCTTTTAGAACAAAATTCTACTGCTGCTTCTTCTGTGTCTTTAACCCATAAATTTCGTCTTTTGGTGTTGTCCCATATATCTTATAATTCCCACTGGTACCTTATTATTTTCTTTGACCTTCGATCATTCCAATTCCAGCACCTTGTCTTTAAGTTCAGGAATTCTTTCTTCACCCTTCTATTGCTGAGAATTTCCACAGAGTTATTTGACTTTCTATTTCTTGTTTTGTTTTTCTTATTTGTTTGTTTGTGTTTGTGTGTTTCATCATTTCAAGCATTTAGGTTGGTTTTTCTTCAACCACTTCTGTCTTTTTTGCTAAATTTCTCTTTCATATCATTGATTGATTTCCTTATTTTATTCAACTGTTTGGGTCTTTGAACATATTAGTAATAATTCTTTTGAGTTTGTCCTCAGGGATTCCTCCAACTCACTCTCACTAAATGCCACTGTTGTGGGAATAATAAAACTGTGAAGGAGTTACAAGTCTTGGATTTTGTTTCTAGTGTCACTACATTGGAAGTTATGTATGTGGTATAACTTCTTTTCCTGACTTCATTTTTATCATCTTTGTGCATTCTGATAAAGAATTTACATTGTCCAAGTGGAATATGAATATGTTATTGTTGAGTTGTACTTCAGAAAATAATTACTCAGACAGGAGGAGAGGGCATCATGCATAAGCTCTATATAATTCCCTAAGAAAGATATTAACTAGGAGAAAACCATAGCTGTTTGAAACTACTACTATGTAATTACACCCAGATAATCATAACAGTGGCCCTTAGACTTCAAAAACTGTTGACAGAACACAGGATATTGACAGAACACAGGATACTATGAAGACTACGGGGATTGTAGTCAATAACATTAGGAGACGAAGGGCAGTGAGACAGATAGAATTAAGGATTATGGAATAAATGAACTTTGAAAAGATAGGGTGGTTAAAGATAAACTTTGAAAAGACAGGGTGGCTAAGTGTCCTAGTTTGCTATTTGTGTATGTGAGAAACATTGTGACTGGTGGTTTGAATTAGGCTCATCTATTTGAATAATTGGTCCCCAGTTGATGTAAATGTTGGAAGGATTAGGATATTTGGCCTGGATGGAGGAGGTGTGTTACTGTGTTCCTAAAACTCCAAAGCCCATGTCATTCATTCCCAGATAGCTCTCTTGACCTCAGGTTTGTGGATCAAGTTGTAAGCACTCAGTTACTGCTCCAGCACAATGCACTCCTACTACCATGCTCCCTACCATGGTAGTCTTGGACACACCCTCTGAAACTATAAGTTCCACATAAATTCCCTTTTCTATAAATTGCCTTTAAGAAGAGGAAGGATGCAGAGGTCATGAGGGAGCAGAAAGGTTGAATCATGGTCCTGTTTATTATCCATTAAGTTTTGTACACTTCAGTGTAGGCATTTGGATTTGGGAAGATTGTATTTGTAGGTCTTGATATCTGGTTTTGTCTTTATTGGATGAATATTTTGCTTCTTGAATTCTGTTGCCCTTGCTGGTTCTTAAGAAGTGTGGTGGCTATGTGTTGCCTGGTAGGAAATTCTTCTACAATCCTAATAGTTGTTGCCACTGGGAACAACTGTATCTCTAGATATTGGCAGCTGACACTTAGGAACAGGGATAGACTATGATTCAGGATTTAGTGGGTCCACTGAAGGGAGGAAAACAGAGTGTTACACCAGGATCTGCTTAAGTTCATGGAAATGAGGACAGAATGAGGAGAGGCTGAAGCAGGTGATCAGCTGCAGATCTGAGCATGTGTTTGGAAGGTTGGATTTTGGGGAGAGGATGGAGACAAAGATCTGCAGTTCACATACCTCCTTCTCTGGCCAGAGTCTGTTGGCTCTTTCTTTTTTTCTTTCATCCTTTCTTCCTTCATTTCTTTCTATCTCTCTTTCTCTCTTTTTTCTTCTTTTCATTCATTTTGTTAATATTTATGCATACAATTCATTAAATTAGTTTATTTTGAAATAGTAACAACATCTGTATTACACCTAAGAGGCCTACACCGCAGTTGAGACTGGGTGCTTAGTAGATGGAGTAGTGGCTGTCTCACACTGGAAGGGCCAACAATGCTCTAGTTGCTCAGTACATGCTAAACACTCTTGTCAATATTTCTTAGTCATTTGCCTTTCTCTTTTTGATAACTCTCTGTTCAGTGCCATATCCCATTTTTAACTTGATTGCTTGTTTTCTTTATAAAAGCTTCTTTTATTTGCATATTCTTTATATTAATCCTCTATCAAATGTACTGCTAATGAAAAGTGTTTCCCATTCGGAAAGCTGCCTACAGTAGAGTAAATTTTTGTTGTTGTTGTTGTTGCTGTTATTGTTTTGACAACATAGAAGCATTTTGACTTCATAGACTCTCACTTGTTGTTTGATGGCCACATTTCCTGTGTGAAGAGGGTTCTATTAAGTAAGTTCTTACCTGAGCCTATGTTCTGAAATGTACTCTTTATATGTTCCCATAGAGGTATCAGAATTTTAAGTGTAACCTTGAAGTCTTTGATTACTTTGGAACTGATTTTTGACAGAGTGAGGCATAACAATCAACTTTGGTCCTTCTATATGTTCAGAATTGTTTCTTAAACATGCTATATTTGCTGCAGATTATATCTTTGACCTCGGTTTCAAAAAACATGTGATTGTAGGTATGTGAATTTATACCAGGGTCTCTGATCCTGTTCCATCCAATGGTTCTAATCCATTGACGAATGGGTGTTTTGTTTTGTTTTTGTGATAGAACAATGCCATTTTTACCATTGTAACTTAAAATCGATGTCTTAGTTTCTTTTCTACTGCTCTGAAGATACAATGTGATCTAGGAACTTATAAAAAATTTAATTGAGGCCTTGCTCAGAGTTTCAGAGAGTGAGTTCATATCCATCATGGGAAGGAGTATGGCAACAGACAGACAAGCATGGCTCTGGAGATAGATAATAGTTGGGCACTGCATGACACTCACAATATCCATCTACAGAGGACTATTTAATATGCACACATCATCAATAATCTTTAGACTAGCTCCCAAAATTATAAAGGAGGTTTTTTAGCCAGGCAGGAACAGTGACGCACAGCTACAATCTTAACAGTGAGGAAGCTGAGGCAGGAGGATCACCATGAGCTCAAGACCAGCCTAGACTACACATTCAGTTCCAGACCTCTGTGGGATACAGAGTAAGATGCTGTCTCAAAAGTGTTGTCCAAGTTGTCCTCAACTTGGGCAACAATGCCCCTACTAGACATGACAGGGCAACAAATAAGGAGCCTGGTCTCAGGATTAGTTAGAATTGTTGGCCAATGTGGTCCTTGACCATTACAGGGCATTGTTAGGACTCTTGGTTAATTTCCAAAACTTGGAACTTCCAGTCATTGAAGATACCACTTACTTGGCTTTTAGAACATGGCAAAATCAAACTGATAGTGACCCAGAAGCTGCATCCCTACTGGTTAGCATTCACAGTGCTGGAAGGTACTGCCTATACTACCAGAAGAGAAAGGGAACCATTAATCATACCCAGCTGTGAACTACAAATAAATGACTGGCCCCGAAAGGCATATCCATGGGTATATAATATGGCAAAATTGTTATGGAATTAACCAACTGCTTCCTGATCAGATTGAATAGCTTCTCCATGAGATGAAACCCATATATGGTGAAGACTTAAGGGTAGACAGATCATAGACCCTAGGTGAGAATTACAATTATTTTACTGTTAAATGGACATAATATTAAGCCACCTCCTAATGATTTATTATTATACCCATAGATTATGGAACCATTCAACCCTTATAATGGATGATCTTATTTTCAGTACATGGTAATCAATACAAATAACCATAGTCACCGTGATGCAGAGAATAAGACACTGAGGAATGTGTAGCCTTTAATGTAACATAAATACTTCTACCTCAAAGGCACAGAAAGGGTTGCAGAAGATGAGGTGAAAAGACTGTAAGAGACAGAGGTGGTGAATGACCACAAAGAAACAGTGTCTTCTGGACACAACAGGGCAGCTCCACATATGAACTCACAGTGGTTGTGAGAACATAGATAAGACCTGTCAAACCCAACCCATAATAAATTCCTGCAGGACATGAGGGCTGTGAATGACAAGAATTAGGGAATATGAATCTTCTAGAAAATAAGGTTGTAGTCAAAGGGATGAGATGGGTCATATCTTGGATGAAACTATCATTGACTGACATCTGCACAGGACCCCAGACAATGTGTTGTGTGACTTTAGTTCAGGCTGCAATTGTGGAATCGGGGACCAGGAAAATTACCTTTCAAAGATTGTGTTCCAGAGCAGCTAGTAAGCTCTGTCTGCGTGTTCACCCTCAGTTTCCAAGCCCCACATTCCCCACACTTTATTGTTTAGGATGCTCCAGCTTTTTCTGCCAAGAAATTAAGAGTTAATAGATTGAAAGACAGCTGCTGGTTTGATTTTCACTTTCAACTTCTTGGAAATGTGGGTTTCCAAGATTCTGAAAAATGACCTTGCCTGTGATTGTCCAACACACACCTAGAGGAGAGAGGCAGAAGTCTGAGGAGTGTATAAGGGATGCCCACCTGCCTTACACCTGCTGCTTTTCCACAGAGGAGGTGAAATGTGTTGTATCTTAGGTGAGACTAAAATTGGCATCTACACAGGACCCCAGTCAATGTGTTGTGTGACTTTAGTTCAGGCTGCATTTGTGGAGTCACAGATCAGGAAAATTACCTTTCAAAGGTTGTTGTCCAGATTACCTAGTAAGCTACGTCTCTTTGTTCCCCTTCTTTGTACAGGCCCATTCCACAGTGCTATTTTAGGAAAGTCCATCTTTTTCTGCCAAGAAAACAAGTATTTTTAGAATGCAAAACGATCGTTTGTCTTATTCACTTTCCTCTTCTTGGAAACGCAGAAGATTCTGGAAACAGCTAGATCCATGTTCTTCTATGATTGGCCAACACATACTGAGAGGAAAGGGGCAGAACCTGGAAGAGTGTGTAAGTCCTGCCAAACTGACATGAACCTAATGCTTTCCACAGAGGAGGCAAGGGTGGGTTTCTGTGAAAAGACTGGAGCACTGTGGACAGTGGTTCCTGCAGCTGAACTACAGTGAACGCATACACTGGACTCAGGATTTTCTGGTAAGGGGCAGGAGCATTCAGATCTAACTTCTAACCCTCACCATCACTTTTCTCTGAAGAGCTGAGAGGTAACAAGACATTAGGACATGCCCCCAAAGATGAGGTTCCTCAGCTTGGAAGCTACGATGCCTTTATGGGGATGTGGGCAGGACTGGTTTGTTGATGGTCTTAACCAATAATTCAATGAGGAAGACCTAAAGCAAATGATCTGGATGATGTTTTTGGTAAATGTATCCATTTGTTTTGGCTTGTCTCTTATTCCTCTCCCTATAATAGCTGTTAATGGGCGCTTCAGGTAATGGAGAATCTCTACAGTGTGCATGAGGTTTGTTGTATCTCAGTCTCATCTTGATTCCTAGTTCAGGATCAACTATTTAATTCCTTACATCCTGAGGCCTCTGGCCTATGGAGAAGAGGTGTCTCTGTGTGTGCTGCTTCTGCTATAGCTGGCTGTGGAAACCTGTGTCTGAAGAATCTTCTTCACTGTAGTTTTCTTTACTGTAAAGCAGGGATGCTAAGGACCTTCTCTTCATCTGTGAGGAGCACAAGCTGTGCCAGGATGTGGTGACAGCTGTCATTTAGGCAGGTTTCCTTTTGTTACACTTGCTGTATCACAGCCTTCTCCTTCCCTGTGTTCATATTCAGTGGAAAGGCCTTGCAGACGACTATCTCTCTGGATTCTGCATCACAAATCCTGGAGCTAGAACTGAAAGAAGAGGGGAAACTGAAAAGATAGGGCAACTTGTGTGCTTTCAGGGATATTCTGTCTGTGCCCTGTGAGTGACTGTCCCCTTCAAGACTAAATCAGGCAATGATGCTTAGTTAACTACACTTAGCTTCTCTAGCTTCCCTTTCAGGACTTCTTCTTTACCACCCTTTCCCATCCTGTGTCTGCAGTCATTTTGAACAAAGTTCTTTGGCTCTGGTTTCCTGAACAGCTGTCCCCATCTGTCCTGTAGTTTGGACAGGGGTTGCCTATTGAATCTGTATGTGATTGGACAGGCTCATACACACAGTGTGACTCTAAGAAGATCCCTATTTTGTATTAGAGTATTTTTGTGGTCTCTCCAGACTCTTGGCACCCACTGTTTATGAGTGCACTAGAACCTGAATAGCCCACTGACCACTTAAAGCTACAGACCTGGCACAAATGTTCACAATAAAGATCAAGTGTTTTCCTCATATCCCTCCTTCATTCCCTGATGATAAACCAGATATACCTATGTGTTGGTGGTGATTAATGAGGAGGGGAATAAAAGCATATTCTGCTGCCTGATGTTCATTGTATTGTGGGAGGCTGACAGCAAATAAACCTAGACAAATATATTGTGTGGCAGCGGATCCAGTGGAGAAACTGAAACATAAGGAAAGGATGGCAAATGATGGAGGCAGCTACAATTTTATATCCCAATGGGAATATAAATCCTGAATCCTGACTAATTAAAACAGAACATAGAGAAAGGCAATAAAGTTAAAGCCATGTGGCTACTGGGGAAGAGCTATATCACAAGGTAGCAGTCACTAAGTACAAAGTCATGAAAGTGGAAGACAGCCTAAGATGACAGCATGACTGGAATTCAGACACTAGTGGCCCCAGGCTATTAACACTAAACTACAAAGATATGTTGTACGTAGTATGTGCACTGTATACCTAGTGAACTTTCCCTGAGAGAAATGGGGATCCTAATAGTGTCTCTCGGAATTGACTTAACATAATATGATTTCAGTACCAACAGGACAACTCTGGCTGTTTGATCATCTATGTTGCTGCCAGAACAATCACAGGAAATATACTAGCTTAGTTACATAATCAAAGCTGAAAGTGAAGGAGACTTGAAGAAGATAATGTAGGAAGAATCGTGATTGGATTTGGAAACAGAGCTTAAGTCTGTGAATTGATATGGGTGAAACAGGCAAGAAGAGGCTCCAGGGTGACAGTAGGGATTTGCCATCTCCTTAACTGATAGTGTGGTCCATTGTGCTGCCACAGGAGGTCTTGAGGACAGATTTGTGGAGAATAAAGGGCAGAAATATGAGATCTGAGTTTATGTAATCTGATTAAATACCCAACAATCAAATTCAAGTCCTTAGGCCTGGTAGCAAGTATATTTACCTGCTGAGTCATTTTGGTAGACTAGATATTTATTCTTTTGATACAGGGTCTCAAGTAGCCCAGGCTATCCTCTAACTCACTATGTACCAAGGATGACCTAGAAGTACTGGCCCTCTTACCTCTACTCCCTAAGTACCATAATTACAAGCAGCTGCATTTGATAAAGCGCTAGGGATTGAATCCAAGGCCTTCTTCACACTGGGAAAGCTCTCTACCACTTGACTACATCTGCAGTGCACAGTAAGATTGCTTTCATAAAATAAAAGGTTTAAGAGAAAATAGTGGGAGTGGATGGGGAGTGGGATAGGGGGCTGGTGGGGAATGGAAAGACAGGAAGGAGAGGGAACTGGGATTGGTATGTAAAATAAAACTTATTAATTAAATAAAAATTAATTTAAAACAAAAAGAAAAGAAAATAGTGAATCTAAATGATGACTTGAGGACACTTAAATATTGTATTGTATAAATGATGTTAACATGGACTTCAAGGGTAAAGAAATTTTATATTTTTGCAAGATGAGCTCCAAATCATGAAAAAGAAAGAAGGAAAGAAAATCTAAGCAAATTAAAAATTATTTTAACCAAATACAATAGCTGGACATCATTTGAAAACAAAAATAAAACAATGATCTATGTGATCATTAGAGATTTTGCATTGCTTAAACACTGGTGTCAATTATTCTTCATTGTTATTCATTTCTCAGTTTCAGAAACTAGATGTATGTTGACTAAGTTCTCAGTCATTTGAGGCACACACTGAAGGAAGTGTGCAAGATGAAGAAGACATCTTGGATTTCATATAGAATGCTCCAGTCAGGGTAGATAAAACATAGTTGTTTGTGTTTTGATCACTGCTAATAATGCTGGCTAAAAGATTATGCAGATTTTTGTATTATTTTCCCTTACTCTACTTAAGTTTTATTTTTCCATAATTAGAGGCTTAGTTGAGAGCTAGTAGATACCTGACCTAGTTTGCTTTCTATTGCTGTGATAAACAACATGACCAAAAGCATTTCAGGGGGAAAGAGTTTGGGGAACTTACACACTCTGATCACAGTCCATTGTGGAAGGAAGATAGGGAAAAAACTCAACAAGAAGCAGAGGCAGGAACAAGGTGAGGGTGCTGCTTACTTGTTCCTCATAGTTAGATTATTTGCACTATTATACAACTCAGGACCACCTGTCCAGGGATGGCACCCCCATAGTAGGCTGAGGCCTCCCACATCAATCCTCAATTAAGAAAATGTCCCATAGGCATGCCACACCCCGAAGCCCAATCTGGGGTAATTGATGGAGGCAATTCCTCAAATGAGGTTTTTCCTCCAAAAGGACTAACTCTACTTTGTATCTTGTTGACCAAAACTAACCAGCACAAATTATACGGAAACTAGTCAATACTGAGGCTGCAGCATAAAGAACACAGTGCTAGGCACAAAGCCATCTTTGGTATCTTGCAACTTACTCTCCCTTCCTTCTTTCAGTGCCTTTATTTGCTCACAGTCATGGGTCAGTCCTTCTCTGATACATCTAAGAAAGATGCTGATGCAGACTCGGTGTACAGAAGCTTCACTGAATATTTTAAGAAGATTAAGGTAGAAAACAAAATCATTTCTCCAGAAACTATCCAGTCAATTGAGTTAAACCTAAAAAAGGGAAACATTCAGGGAGCACACTCTGTAATCAGGGCTGCATTAAAAAATATTGATAGTGTCACAATAAGCATTGCTGTGACAGGAGAGTCTGGGGCAGGGAAGTCCAGCTTCATCAACGCTCTGAGGGGTGTGAAAGATGATGAGAAAGGTGCAGCTGAAGTTGGGGTAACAGAGACAACTATGAAGATAACTTCATACAAACACCCCAAAATTAAAAATGTGGATATTTGGGACCTGCCTGGTGTTGGAACTATGAAATTTCCACCAAAAGATTATCTGAAGAAAATGGAATTCCAAAAGTATGACTTCTTCGTTATAGTTTCTGCCACACGATTTACAAAACATGAAATAGACCTTGCCAAAGTAATCAGACTGATGAAAAAGAATTACTACTTTGTGAGAACCAAGGTGGACTTTGATCTAGATAATGAAAAGAAACGCAAAGCATGTACTTTTGACCAAGAAAATATTCTGCAGCAAATCCGAAGCTCCTATCTGGATACCTTTCGTGACAATAAAATTGATGAACCACGAATTTTCTTGATCTCTAACCACAATTTATCTGACTATGATTTTCCAGTCCTGATGGACACCCTGATAAAGGATCTTCCTGTTCAAAAGCGCCACAGTTTTATGCTTTCCTTGTCCAACATTACAGAGGGAGCCATTGACAAAAAGTACAGCACTTCAAAGCAGTTTATCTGGTTGGAAGCCCTCAAGGAAGGCGCTTTGGCTACTATTCCTGCACTGAACACCCTCCAGGGCAGTGATATGGAAAAGCTAGAAGCAATTCTAAACCACTACCAAGTCCTCTTTGGAGTGGATGAGGAATCCCTGGAGGTCATTGCTAATGATTCCCAAGTGCCTGTAGAAAAACTGAAAGAAAAACTTAAATCCCATTCTTTGTTGGAAACTAAGAAAGAAGAAACATTAGAAAAAACATTTTTGAAATATTTGGAGAAATTTGCCTCAGCTACTGGTGGGCTCCTTGCTACAGGTCTTTACTTTGGGAAAACCTTTTACTTGCATCATTTCTTCCTTGACACAGTGACTGAAGATGCCAAAGTTCTCCTTAGAGAGACATATTCAAAAGATTAGCTCAAATTCAACTCACCCACAGCTACTGACCATGGCACCATCAAAAGGTTAACTCCAGGGAGTCACAGATAAATTCACCTTCTGATATGTTTTTCTTTACATTAGCCAATC